CACTTGGTGACCACAACACAGTATTCCAGGCTGAATGCATGGGCATCAAGTTGGCGGCAGAAGCAATCATAGCGAGAAGAGTTAAGAACCACTCCATTCGAATACTCTCAGACAGTATGTCAGTACTACAAGCACTGAACAGCTATGACATAAACTCAGGGCTCATTTATGAATGCCATCAAGCACTCATGGAGGTATGTATACAAAACCATGTAACCCTACAGTGGATTAAAGGACACAGCGGCTCACGCGGCAATGATGCAGCAGATGAACTAGCCAGAAAAGGATCGGAGGCGGACGCTGTAGGACCAGAACCCATAGTGTCCCTCCCCTACCAATGGTTCAAAACAACCATACACAAAGGTACAAAATCATCACATAATAATACATGGACGACCCTTACGGTCTGTAGACAGGCGAGGGAAGCACTCCCAACGCTCAATGCCAGTCTATCTCGAATATTTATTAAACTCAAAAGGCAAGAGCTTCGCACTCTAACTGCCGCCCTAACGGGTCATGGTCCATACAATAAACACCTTTTCAATTTAGGTATCACAGACAGCCCTCTATGCAGAGCGTGCATGGAGGGGGAGGAAACGGCTGCGCACATCCTACTACAGTGCTCCGGCGTGGCCAACTACAGGGCAAAGTACCTTGGAGTGCCAAGGTCGCTCCCCGAAGTCTTCAGCAAGCCGAGGAGGCTGCTGAGATTCCTGGAGGAGCTTGGGTGGCACGAGTAGGACCCTGCACCCACCACACGCAAAATAGGCGCCTTGACGTCGAGTTGCGGACACCAGCCCGTTGCACCAAGTACCAAGTACCAAGTTCCCTATTGCGGGCTATGTTGAGTGTGAGTGTTATTATTATTATTATTATATTATTATTTTTGCCCTGTAATTTCTCTACGTATGTGGTGCTAACAATAAAGAATTTCCTATCTATCTACATTACATTTCCAAAAGAACACTATGTCTTACTGGAGTCCATAGGTATGAATATTTTGATATATGTACAGAGTAAATTAGAACATTAAAAAAATAAAACTCTAATAAGCTCATGACTTAATGACAACCATAAACTTGTGTGTAGGTATTTACATTTCTAGCTTTGGGTTTGATGTTTTACTTATGTGTTATATGCTGGGTTGGATATGATAATGATATCATCATCATCATATTCAGCCCACATCAACCCACTGCTGGGTATAATCCTGTTCTTTATTCAGCCAATCTTCATAGTACTGCTTTCTTAATTGAATATTAATACTATGTACTGCCAGCCTGTACATTGTTTTTGTTATATAGGGGGTCTTGTTGGTGATCTTAGGTTATTTTTTGGTTTACCTCTTTCAGGAAGCTATCCTCTTGACATTTGAAAACCATACTGATAGAAGTAGTTGCAGAATCGGTAACTTTAAACCCAAACCTTTTATCACTTCCGTCAGGGTTAATTTCGGCATACACTTTGTACGTACTATATAGATACCAAATTTCACGTGCCGGTTACTGTATATTTATATATATTATATAGAATGTTAATTACTTCGATACCATTTTACATGACGTTTGAAAGTACACAGTTTTTGGCATTTGGCGAATTTTAAATTTTAATCAAAGTAAGTATTATTATTTTTTAAAGATAGGTAGGTAATCAAAACACAATCAAAAGATAAAGACAATATTTTCCTAGTCGAACATTTTTTTTTAATTTCTTGGCTTATCGAGAAGATAACAAGCACTTTTTTATTTTCGATGTAGCACTTCACGGATAGCACTTGCGCCACAGCAAAACAATTAAAACAATACTGTTAAAAATGTGTTAAAAACACAAAATAACAAGTTAAAAAGATTAATCAAGATTACTTTGGGCTAACAAGGCCAAATGGGTTAGAAAAGAGAACGGTAGAAAAAGTAAGTCTTTTTTGCCTTCTCGAATGACACTTCAGGACAGACCTTCATTTTTATTTATTTATTTATTTATTCTTAGGAAGGTTTACAGCATTCTTTAAAATTAATTTATAAACTAAATGTAAACTTATAAGCCTATTAAAAACCTCCACATATGAAAAAACCTCCACATATGAAATTCTTAGACTATGCCTTTATTTTTTTCCATCCTCTAAGCAGACCTTAGATGGTTTCTATAGTCTGGGATAGACACGCGTCGAAGGGCGCGTTTACACCAAGCCGTCAGGCGACCTTTGCTTCCTCGCCGAAGGCGGCGTGCTAATCGGTGTAAAAAGAGAGTCGTCAGACGACTTTTGTGGTTGCAGCCGACGTCGACCGAAGCGACTGGGTGCGTGGCCTTCGACAAGGCAAAGTAGTTTGCCGAAGGCGGTAGACCATTCGATGTAAATGACGAGTCGATTGCGTCATTTTCGGCAGGCGAAATACTCAGCCGAAGGTCGGTAGACGATGTAAATGCCCCATAAGTCTAACACTTGTCATTTGAACTGGCCCTAAAACGGCTCATTCACTGCCTGCATGGCAGTCTGCCGCGCAGGCAGGAGACTGCTCACACACAATCCAGCGTATGGCCCAAGTATGGTGCCACCCAGGCCGCATTGCAGTATTGCTAGATTGCTGGATTACTTGCACGCTGAGACTACATTCATAATCCAGCATCACGCGGCGGACGGCAAGGCGGACAGCAATGCAGGACAATGAATGCTCCCTTTTAGACATGGACCATTTTTATATTACCTAATTCACGAGGAGTTTTTCAAGGGCGGTAAGTTTTAAATTTCTTTTTGAGTTGTTCTAGATCTAGATATATTTGTTTTTATTTTTCAAATTAAATCAACTTTTCGGGCTCTTTACCTATGGGTTTCCTGATTAAGGCTGACTAGTTGTTTCATTTTTTTGCGGGACGTTAGGTTTGTTTTAAAAACAAATGCGCACGATTTAGAAAAATAAAGAATAATTTCTAAAGTGTAGCAATTGCACAAATTCTGAACTCAATACGTATTTTTAAAGTTTTTAATTTTATTTTGTATTTTATCTTTTTTGTAATTATAATTCATTCAGTACGGGGAGCCGTGAATTTAAATTAACTCTATGGCGCTTACAAAGTGTCAAACTTATTATGCTCTTGACGTATACTCATACCCCGGACCTTTTACTTTTTCCATCCTCTAAGCCCCGGACACTCCATACAACACGGTCGAAAATTATTTACTCACTACTACTACATATAGCAAGGCGCAATCTGCACACGCGAAAATGTGTGCGTGAAGTGGCAGTGTTACCCATCACTTTCTTGCACTATTACGTTAGAGCGGCAACATAGCGAAAATGCTAACGCGAATCTATAATCTATAATTCTATTAATAGAATGCAGCACAGATTACTTTATATATACTTTGCAGAATCCTAATATACTTATGTTTATTATATATTTATATCGATATAATATCACATTTTTCATTAATTCGCTAACTAAAGTAATATTGAAGATTTAAAAAAATATATATTAAAAGCACTTAAATTTTTATATTTTGGACATGTACTTTTAAATAAGGTAACCAAGGTATTTGAAATTGCGTGTCCAAATTGATTATCATTACTTAGTTAATAATTAGGTACATTCGCTACTTACGTATATTATTCGAGAATCCTTGTCTACGGTATTAGCTCACGAAGTCCATGGTGCCTCATTATATTGATATAATAAATCTGTTTTTTTTTATACATACATATATTACTCTGCAGTAAACAAATGAAGAAAACAATAACTGAATGAGTCTCAGACATAAGTTTTTTACCTACTTCGTTTCATCTTTCGGAAAATGATATAAACAGCCGTACACAGCGCAATTTACGACCATTATAAATAGTAGCGTAAAATGATGTTTTATATTAACGTACAAGTTTCGTAATGAATAAATGAAAAGTATATTCAAATATCAAAGCCGTTTTCGCGCGAAAACGGCTCGCCGGCAACCTTGTTGTCGTTCAGTCAATGTGACCGGCAATGTGCGGCGCGTGGTGCGGTATCTAAAGCTAGGGAGGGGTGGAGAGTGTCCGTTCTCTTTACTTTTTGTTCTATATAATATGCCAGATATTATCAATTTGAATAGAGTGGGGCTGACTTGTAAAAGTTTAGAGATTTAAATGGTATAGTATAGTATGATAATTTATGTGTATCGTATCGACTGATTACAAGGAAACAATGGTGGCGTTAATTCTTTCGTTCTGGGGCCTTACCATGAACTCTTATTACGATTCAGGCGGTCTACTCTCGATCTTCGTCCGACATCCGTCCGAAACAATTACTGCCAAATAAGCATTACTTGACCAAATGAAAAAACGCGTGATGCTAATGAAGCTTCATTCTTGATACTTGTCTTTTAATTTTGTTGAATATTACTTATTTGACAGGAATTGTTTCGGACGGATGTCGGACGGAGATTGAGACTAGACCCCCAGTTTAGGACCTACAATGAATCGTAGTGAGACAGCGCTACATGAAGTGTATATCACCATCCCGCTTTTTTGTCGTTACGAACCTATACTGAACTGTAATAAGAGTACATGGTAAGGCCCCTGTTTTATTTATTTATTGCATCAAATAGGTACTTAAAAATAAAACAAATATCCTTTTTTTTGCATAAAATATACATTCATTGTTAAGTTTTTATGGCTAACGAGAGTATGCACATTAAAAACTCTACTATACTTACTTACTTATATAGTTTTAAAACCATGTATCCCCTGCACTACATCTCATGTATTGCATCATGTCCTCGAAGATTGCATCCTACTAACATTATTATAATGGATAAGCGCAAAAGGTATACCTACTTTTTGATGTGTCGTGGTGCTCAGGTTTGTTTACAATAATGATACAGTTATAGAACACATTCATTCATTTAATTATTACAAACTTTCCGTTTTGTTATTAAATGCTTTGGTTTACTGTTTTGTGTAAAATTAATGAAATCACTTCTTAGTAACAAATTGTTTAAAAGATTTATCCAGTGCCGCTATAGAAAAATCAACGTCTTGCTTATTGATGCACATTGGCGGTTTAATCCTCAACGTCTGGAAGAACAAAATCAAAATATTAACATAACTCTGGCCTGGATTCCCGGTCACAGTGGGATTAGTGGCAACGAAGCAGTAGACGCCTTTGCAAAGGATGCGACAAGAATTGGCGTATGCAAATACTGTAAGTGCTTTCCCAGAGATCTGCTCGCCATGACCAAACCCCAAATGCTAGCCTCCTGGTCGGTCCTTTGGCAGGAATCACGACAAACTGTTGGTAGACACTATGGTAACCTCCAACCAAATCTACCCACTAAACCCTGGTTTTTTAAACGTCGCGATTTGCCTAAAAACATCACTTCCACTATTATTCGTTTGCGCTTAGGTCATGTTTGCACACCTGTATTTTTGCGTAAAATCAGAGTTCGAGATCACTCTCTGTGCGAGTGCGGCCTAGAAGACGGTACCTTGGAACACATTTTTTTCAATTGTCCTAATATTGCTGTTCCACTTTATAACTTACTTTCTCCAAAATTCCCCCGCCCCATTAACATAAACAACTTCTTAACTTTAGTGTTCTCCCCCCATATTGTTACTCTATGTAAATTTATCCACTTAAATAACATATATTTATAAATATTGTTTTGCTGTTTTGTTTTACATTCTCAACAGTACTCCCGTAGTCCAACTTACCAACACCGGTTAATGTCCTATTAGAGCTTAGCGAAAATTTTTTTTTGTTTCGTTTTTTTTCTTTCAACTGTGACATTGGCAAAATCATCAGTTCTCATATTGATGGAGCCATAAAAATAAAAAGTGAAGTGAACATTCTTGTATTCCAAAATCAGTCTTTTTTTGTCGCATAAAATATGCGCAGAGAACGCACCCCTCGAGGTGCAGCGTTCTGCGTTATATCAAACGAAAGAGAGGGCACAATGCGACATCGTAACTGTATTAAAATTTCACCCATAATATGCATCATGTCATCAGAACTCATTGCTATATTATTGCTGACATACGTAATGAATACCACTATGAATAAAATTGTTATTTGCGCTGATAGCAAGAGTGCTCTACAACATCTAGTTCGCTGTTCACGGACATCGAGGTACACCAGTCGCATATATGGTCATAGCTAAAATACAAGAACTTGTAGTCCGCAGTGTACAACTGAAGTTGCAGTGGGTACCATCGTACACTGGACTAAAGGGGAATGATGATGCTGACATCCTAGCCAAACGTGGAATAATAGAAGGGCCAGTGGTGGAATATACTACCATGTTACTCAGAATTTCTTCCCAAATATAGGTCGAAATGTGCTCAAATGTGATCAGATCAAGGGAAAAAGGTATCTGGTATCGCACAATTCAGTGTCAGCCTCCTTGTTTACCTTGGTTTGCAGAGTGCGACTATGATAGAAAAATAGTTGTCATCGCACTAAGGATGAGAACCGGACACGTTCCATTAAACAGTTTTGCCTTCTTAATGAAAAAAATCAATTCTCCTCATTGCGAGTTATGTGGAATAGTGGAAGATGCATATCATTTGTTACTGGAATGTGTCCGGTACGAATAACAAAGGGTGGCGAACCGAACATCCTTAGGTACTATAAATTATATATTAAGCAATGCCCACACATATTTGTTGAATCGGCTCTCCAACAGCGCCGCCCAGATATGTAAGCTATAGTTTAGGGTGCGATGGAACTAGCACATACATTGTATAAAAGTTCCTAAATAAATAAAAATAAAAAAAACGTACTCCTCATGGAAGAAGGGCATAAGTGAAATTTACGTCAAAAAATTGCTCCGCTGGATACAGAAAAATATAACGCACATTCTGTCCAATTCTTGTAACTGTATCGACTAATATTGTTGATAGAGTTACACGAATTGGAGAGGAGAGTTTAAAAAAATACAGAGTCAAATTGAGAACCTCCTCCTTTTTTTGAAGTCGGTAAAAAATGGAAGCGTCCGGCCTTTTCTTAACTATAAGAAAATAGTCAGATGCACTGAACTTAGTTACAATTTCCGTTTGTTTGAATTGAAAATATGTCAACATTCTTATGTTTGTATAGCTTAAATAACTATAATAATATGCTCTTGGTTTCTAAGGGTCGTATTCCAGAACTCTACTTAATACTCAAGTCAGGACTTGAGCATTGCAGTGAGCACTGAAAATCATACTCAAGTCCTTGCCATTAGCGTCGTATTTCCAGTGCTTGAAATCATACTCAAGTCTGCTCAAATCCTGACTAGAGCATTGAGTGTAAGGGAACAACTTTTGTAGGAACATTCAAAGCGACATTGTATTTATTTGAATTTGAAAAAAAACTAAGCTATTATTTATTTATACTAAATGATACTAAACGATAATTTGTTTCGAAATTTTTTGAAAAAAAAAAAATATCGATATCTAACACTATGTTTACGTAAACACGCTTCACTTTTCTTACATTTTTCCATGTTAAATTGGTACTATTGTAACGTTACATAAACTTACGTTTCCCCATCGACCTCCAACGCCCATCAGAGTACCGTTATCCTTTAAAAGCTCTAAAATATCCATCACATCATTTCTGGGCAACGGCTGCTTAGTACCCGGTTTAACAAGTTCCACACCCAACATTAGACCTTTGCCTCTAACGTCTCCGACAAGGGAGTGTGCTTTTTGCAGATCCATTAATTGTTCTATGAAATATTTGCCAAGGGTTTTGCAATTTTGTTGTAGGTTCTCCTCTTCTATTACCTGCGAAAGTAAATATTAGCTTTAATTGTATTATTTCTTTTAATATCTTAGGGATATATTACATTTCAAGAGTTAAGTCATATTTTATTAACCGACTTCAAAAATATATATACCATAATATCCTTTTTTTGTTTTTGTATGTATGTTACGCGATAACTCTGGTATTTGTGAACCGATTGTATCTCTTTTTATTGGAAAGAGGGTACCTCCATAGTGGTCCCATTTCATTTCGAGGAAAATCATCCACCTCTAAGGGTGACTGATCATGCATGAACATTCATTTTTATAAATAGCGCCTAAATTTTACTTAAAGAGCAATTATTTTAATGGTTGGTTTTGCTTTTCTCCAATTCAAGGCGTTTCTCTCTCAATATACTTTGAGTAGTGAGAACCGATTTTTATTATCTCCTGTGTCAAGTCCTGTATAGTGGCGAACTAGGGAATCTTTCAAAATAGCTCAATACCCCTACTATTTGTCTAAGTGTATAATCATCACACAAACTGCACTCCTTTTGCATCATAATTTAGTCGCGATGCTCATGTGACTAAGCGCTTAGACACGCAAAGCCCTAAAATATAAAAGTGATATTCCACCGATGAAGCGAGACGACACTAGGCCAGACGAGCAATGAAACTTGTATGGCAAAATTTCAATTCTTTTCTAGCGCATCTACAGTAGGAATGGTTCTGCGTTGACGAGGATTGAAATATTTGGAGGTAGGTATATAATATTTACTCTTATACCCACCAGTATAAAGTTAAATTAACTCTGCAAAGAAAACACAATTCACGCGAATCTTCGCTGTGCTAGCGCGAGATTGTGGGTATGTACCTACGTACGATTTAGAAATTTAAAAAAATAACTGCAAAATGCCGTGCAGTCGAATGTTTAAAACGTATCAACCTAGTAATTTATTCTGTTGGTATTTCAATATTTTTAATTTAAATACTACTCACAACCTCAGCGCTCAGATCTTGCGATGGTTACTAATATCAATCACGAGCTCGCGATAGCTAATCATATTTTTGATGGAAATAGGCGTGCTTCAATTCTCGTCTCACCTTGCCGATGGAAAAGCACCTTAATCCTATATGTAATGCTAAGAGAAGTACCTACCTCTAAAACAGTTTTCCCAACAGTTGCAGCGAGTGGATTCCCTCCAAAGGTATTAAAGTACGTAGCTTGTGCGTGTACAGCGGCAATCTTCTCTGTAGTAACCACTGCAGCCAATGGGAAACCGTTGCCAATGCCTTTAGCCATTGTGACAATATCCGGGACAACACCGTGACCTTCGAAGCCCCAAAAGTGGTCTCCAGTACGGCCAAAGCCTGATTGAACCTTTCGGACAATTTAGTAGCAATTACAATTTAAAAAAAATCGATGGCTTCTCTAGTTGATATATCGAGAAGTTTTGTTGGTAGGTACAGTAACACCCCGTTTGCGCGACCCCTGAAGGCGCGGTTTCGCTTTCAAACGAATTTCACGTTTCGCGTTAAGTTTGAAACAATTGACGGTGAAGCTCAGCAATGAAGATGTAAGGAAGATGTAGAACAATCCCAGCGGCTTGTAGAATGCTTTAGCAATAATTTATTGAAGCTAGGAGATATGGAACAGCCTGGACAGTGATTTACCTACCCGTCCTGCATACTGGTTTTGTAAGGGGAACAAACATTCCTGCTACATTACCTAGTTTTGTAGCAGTAATCATTTTCCTTCATTCATTAAAAACAGTGTTGCATGCACGAACGTATATACCTATCGCAAGAACGTACCTAAATGGAAAGCAATAAACTATAGATGTATTGATTCATAAAACAAATAAGTAATAATAACGTTACATTCTTAGAACTAAAGTTTTGATTAATTATGTAGGCTTAGAATAATAACGCATAGAAATCTATAGTCCGCACACGCTAAGTGAGGCAAATTGAAGTGCGACCAATGGGCCTACACGAGCGGGCGGGCCTTCAGTGCTCAAGGTCAACTTGCACCGCGAACAGATCAAGAATTTTAGCTAAAAATGACGAAATGTGCGGTAAATGAGTGTAAAAATACGTCAGACAAACATAAAATAGATACTAACATCACATTCCCCAAGGAAGTAACGCGTTTCAACTTGTATTTTTATGTAAATATTCACTAAAACCGAAAATTAACCTACTACTAAAACTAGCCTACATGAATTTGATTTTTGCCTCACTTGTGACAGTTCGTTTCATATGAAACTATCATTCTATGCGTTATTATTCTAAGGTAGGTATGTGGGTACTATATTTTATTTCATACCCTCCATATACGCGAATTCCACTTAACGCGATTTTATCTTATCCCTCGCGTAAAGCGGGGTGCTACTGTATTTTTATTTCTTTTCGGTATCTTTTAATTTATTATCAAAGCGGGCTTTGCACAGACACTACCTACAGCGATCGTGCGCGATTAAGTACGCTTGTCAAGACGTTGGAAGGAAAAGGGAAAGACCGAACGATTGTGCTCATCAGTCACGCGCCAGTTTCACGCGGCCTATCCTGCGAAGTTAACCTTCACAAGGACGCTCTTTCACAACAATCGCGCGCGATAGAGTGAATGTGTTAAACGGGGCTCATGTTCTCGGCAGTGACGTAATTCAGGCGTCATTATTTACATAATTGTCATCTGAACTAAAATCATCCAATGGTTTTTCTTTTCAGTACAATGCAGTAAGTAGAAACTTACCTCATCAGAAACTAAAAGGCCGCCATATTTTTTTACTAAAGCATGTGCTTTCTTCAAATATCCTTTAGGGAACTGTACGGTTCCATTAACGCCCTGTATTGATTCTGCGAACAACGCTGCAACTTTTCCAGCTGGAACTGAGTTACCTAGAAGCTGTCCTAGGAGTTTTATGAAAAAATTAAATCTAAAGTATTAAAAATTATAATCTAGAAATATAAAAGGGTTCATTGTCAAAGTACTGCCGACTACGAACTTTACCTATTTTTGCTGCCAATTAGTAATGAGAACATTACTGCGTTCCGGTAGGCACATGGGACTTGTCGACTTAAGTCACAAGGTGACGGGCACTGTGGTACCCCTCAGATATTTGCGATTTACAGGTCTGTGTGGCACTGCAACTGCTATGAACAGGCGTGTCGCTTAACATTAAAAAAATATCAAACAAAATTCTAAGTTATGATAGATACTAAAAAGTACCTCTTCAAGTTGATGCACATATTTGTCAGCAGTGATACAATCTCCGGAACAGGAACACGCTCCTTGCACCTGGGACAAAGAATCTCTACAACCTCCCCAAATTCCTCTGTAGGGATCTGGTAGCATTGTCTGTAAAGACAGAACAAGTAATATTTGTATCATTGAGTATTCTGAAGTTTTGGCTACCACGATGATTATTTTAATTTATTTTTTGTGAAAATATTCCACTAGTTTGTTACTATAGCTCTCTTAAGAGTCTGTACTACCTCAGATAGAATAAAATTGTCCCAAATAATACAAATACGGTTTGTTTTGTTTGGGTCGAGCGACAGGGACACTGGCTTTATTACTGAATGTATTTTTTTACAAACGATATTAAAGCCATTTGATAAATGTATATCATAAACTACACGTGTTCTACTTAGTTCAGTTGATATTAAAAAAAATCATTGGTATATGTAAAGTGCCTATTCAATGGAGTGGTTTAGTTTTCTTGTAAAATTTCGAAGTAAATAGATTTCGAAGTAAGTAAATTTCTCATAGATGGCGCTACGACTACAAAGTCGTTGAAAAACCAAATACAAAGACA